GGGAGGCTCGTGGGAGAGATCCTTGCCTGTTCTTGGTACCGAAAATAGTTAAGCCCGCTCCTAAGCATCTGGTGTGCTTTTGTTTCAGGACACTGGGAGCCGCATAAATGACCAGCTTTCCCTTTTCGAGCTGGCTGCTAAGAAACTTGGAGCCAAATTTATGGCCTGACCATATGCTGGCTGTTCGGGTTTTAAAGGGATGAGTTTTTCTTAGCCTAATTTCTGGCTCCGTCTATGTCCCCACTTTTCTCTTTCTTCCTCGTCTCCCTTGCAAGAAAAAAAAAAGGGGGGGAGGGGAGAGGATTGAAAAATCTTTCCAAGACGAATATGTGTTCACTGTAGGAAACTTAGAAGATAGGATCCATCTGAAGATCCCAATAAAAGTCCGCACTCATCTCCTATTGTCACGGCTGCATAGTATTCCCTCCGGTGCATACACCTGACGTTTTGAAATCAAGCCCCCTGCTGTCAAAGGGCTGCAGGGGGAACATTCCAGGCGTCCAATTTTCAACAGCACTTTAATGAGCATCCTTGCAGCAATCATGTGCTTGTCCACAAGTCCTTAGACTCGGACTGGCTGGGTTAGATACACAAGCAGACACCTTGAGGCTTTTGCTCTGGGTTAGCAGACTGCCCTCCAGAAACATCTAATTCCTACTCTCCTATCTAATTGGAGCTACCGGGTGGTGGTTTACACACCCTTGTAAGCCAGTTGGAGTCCTCTCTGGAACAAGGCAGGGTACAAATAAATACATAAGCCCCGAGCCACTTCTGCCTTCTGATTAAATTACCCGGCCTCAAATGCAATAATATCCTTGTCTTCTTAAGAGGAAGCCCCTAGCTCTGTTCCCGTTGGCTAAACCCTGGTAGCCAGTGCTCCACGGACGGCTGGCCCGGGGTCCTGGACGCAATCCCTCTGCCCCAGGAAGAACCAGGAATTGTTTTTGAACCAAGATGTGGGTGGTAAAGCCATAGGCACCATGATGCTCCCGGGTGTGGCCGCGAGAGAAATTCCTCCTGCGTGTCCGTCCTGGACCTGCCCCGGGGAACTGCGGCTCTAATTGGGGCGGCATCCTCGGCGAAAGTATTTGAAACACCTCCCAGCCAAAAAAGACAATTTGAGAAACAGCTACTTGAGCTCATAGCTTACCCGCTTCGAGCCCATTAGCAGGAATATTAAACTCAGTACTGGCAGCTCAGCCAGGAGAGCAGCTGGCTTCTCCGGTACATTTGCCACATCGGAGGTGAGGCCGCCTGATGAGCGGAGGCTTCCGTACCTGGACGGTTGCTGGGCCCCCACACCTGCCTTTGTAAGCATTTTTCTCAGGGTAGCCGTTCTCTATCCCTATGACTGCACCCCCCGAGAGTTCATGACCGAGGTTCCGAGCTAAACCCAGTCTGAGAGAGCTGGCATTTGGACTTTCAAACAGTGAGCCTTCCAGGACATTCCAGTGGTTCCCAGGGAAGTGAACTTGACTGTGTATTTGAACTTGAACCCGCCAGGCGAAACTCCGGATCTCTGCTGTGCTGAGATTTGGCAGCGGAGCCCCAGGCATTTAATTACACTGCTGCAGAGAATGCTTGAGCGAGGTGCGTCCAGCGCAGACAATTATTTTAGGAGAGCCGTGGAGGCCTTCTCTCCTTGCCACTTAAATCTTGCTTCTCTTTTACAATTCAATATTTCATATGTTGAGAGAAAATGCCTTGTTTGCTTCAAAGGACTCACTAGGCATTGTAGAAAGGAGATGTTAATTATGTTGACCGCTGCTTTGTCTCTGCACAAATGAGACTCTTCGGGGTGGGGGTGGGGGTGTCATCCAAATTGCTTGGGGATCAGAGCCAGGGGAGCATGGGTGGGGGTGCTTAGACTCAGGTTCATACTTTCCTTTTCTTTTTTTTTTTCTTGTTAGTTTATTGTTTTCTTTGTTTGTTTCCTTGTAAAGAACTGGATTGAGGGCACCTGGGTGGCTTAGTCGGTTAAGCGTCCGACTTTCGCTTAGGTCATGATCTCGCGGTTCGTGGGTTCGAGCCCCGCGTCGGGCTCTGTGCTGACTGCCAGCTCAGAGCCTGGAGCCTGTTTCAGAGTCTGTGTCTCCCTCTCTCTCTGACCCTCCCCTGCTCACGCTGTCTCTTTCTCTCTCCCCTAGAAATAAATAAAAATATTTAAAAAAAAAAAAAAAGAACTGGATTGGTCACGAAAGGAGACAAGGCTAGTCCCACATTCTCCTGGAGCCAAGGGGAGGGCATTCTTGGACCACCTACCCTTCTTGTCTCAGGCCGCTCTTCTGGTCCTAGGTCAGGCTCCCCGCAGAGCTCGAGGGGAGGATTTGAGTGTCAAGTGTCCCCCTGGGAGGTGATACCAGGAGGCAGCAGTAGAGGAAGTGAGCCAGGAAGTGAAGGACTCCCGCGCAGGGTGAGCTAAGGAACAGGGTGGCCCCGGGGGCACCTGAACACAGTTCTGGAACGCCGTATGCAGCATGCATCGCGGGGTTCTCCTCCGGGAGAGGCCAGAGGGCTACTAGTATCTGTCACTAACTCCTGTGTGGCCTTGCTGGGGACTACTGGGTGGGAGGGGCTTCTGCTGCCTGCCCAGTGCAAAGGCAGAGCTGGCTGCGACTTACAGAGGAAGCCTTTGGCAGCGGGGACTCTGGTGTCTCTGCAGTTAAGGCCTGGGGGGCACGAGTGTTGGCTCTACTTGCGTCATTCCTGCCCGCAAAGAAGGGGGGGTGACTTCACTGCTCCATGGAGGAGGCGTGGGCCGTTACAAAGGGGGATCCCCCCCTAGGGGCGCCTGGGTGGCTCATTTGGGTGGTTAAGCGTCCGACTTCGGCTCAGGTCATGATCCCGCGGTCCATGAGTTCGAGCCCCACGTTGGGCTCTGTGCTGACAGCTCAAAGCCTGGAGCCTGCTTCAGATTCTGTCTCCCTCCCTCTCTGCCCCTCCCCTGTTTGCGCTCACGCTCTCTCTCTCAAAAATGAATCCCTTTTAAAAAAGGGAGATCCCCCAACTTCAAAAAGGGTGTAGATAAATAAAGCACCAAGAATGACTAATTACAATCATTTCAGTTGGCGTTTATGAATGGCTTATTCTTCTTATAAATTAGTGAAGGAGTCAGGCTCATCTGTACAATTATATCACTCGCTCCCTTTACAATAAGCTTTAAAAAAGAGACTTTACTGAGTGGGAGAGAAAAAGGTGGGCTAATAGCTGTGTCTGCACGATTGCTCGTAACTCACGGTCTGGCTTATCTCTGCTACGGCTCATGGGAACAGCTTCTGTGATCAGTTAACAGCTGTCCAAATGAACAATTATTGTGGGGCTTTGTTTCTCTGTAAACCGCTTGAGTTTTATCAGGACTCTTTCTGGGTGTGTAGGAACCCATTCAGGATAGGACTAGAGTCTTCCATTTCCCACCTCTGGCTACCAGTCATCCTTGTTCGCCTTGACCTATACTGTCTCATCTGCCCTGGTCTTCTGCCCTTGCCCCCAGTCTGTCCCCGCCCCCACCCCCACCCACCTGTGAGCACCTGAGTCAGGTGACATCCCTCCTGATTCAGGACCCTCTGTGGCTCCCACCTCCCCCAGAGGAAAAAGCTAATGTAAGCTTTTGTGTTTGTAAAGCTTTTGTGTTTGTGTTCTGTCTTTGTCTAAGGTAAGCTCTGTCTAATGGAAGAGCTTTTGTGTTTGAGCGTTTTGTTTACTGCTGTGTTTTCAATATTCAGAATAGAGCCTGACACACAGTAGGAGCTTAACAAATATTTGCCGAACAAGGGAGAGCACACTGCCCTGATAAAAACAAAAAGATTGGGGCTTGTGACTAAGTCCATTATGTTCTGGGGAAGCCCGAGGGGGCCTGATCTGGGGGCCACCTTGTTCCATCCAGTGATCACTTTTCTAACAACGTTGCTCAAATACCTCCAGATATTGATTTGAATTTGTGGTGTCAAAAGTGTCCCCTGTTTTTTCACTTTCCCTTAGCTGACTCCTGTCTGCACTTCAACTTGAATGTCCCTTCTCTGAGGTACCTCCTCAGAAATCCCCAGCCTGGGGAAGAACGCCTGCTATTCCCTACACTTTCTTCGGGGCATTTACTGCAGCGAATAGTTCCAGAAGTATCAGTGGCTTTTCATGCTTGATGCTTGTCTCGTCCATCCATGGACCATGGCCAGATATGTTTTCTTTACCCCTCTCTTCGTAGCCCGATCCCAGACCCCATGCCAGGCATAGAATAGGTACTCACTAGATATGTTCTAAGAAGTGTAGAAAATTTTGGAGTTCCCCGAGGCACGTTAGCGTTTCAAAGCCTCTGATAAGTCTTGCACCAAAGGAACATGTTTCACATAGCAGTGCACAAATTTGTTTGATCACTGAGCATGCCTGGAAAGATTGCCAGTGTTCTGAAGGAGCATGGCTCGGGAAACACAGCCATGACTGATCCCTCAATTATCTGAGCATCGTGAACGGGCCTGAAGTTTAATTGAGGAGTCTGAGTGATGCCTTCTATTCAAGAGCCTGGAAGTCTCCGTGAGGATTCTGTCATCCTTTCGCCATTACCTTATCTGGGCTTCTCAGGAGCAGGGGTGGAGGGTGGGGATGGCCACGGTATGTCCAGAGTCCGTGTGTCACAGTGGGCTGGGAAAGCAGAGAGGGAGGTCCAGGTTTGGGGATCAGTACAGGTGTGTCTGTGTCCCTGTGGCCATAATGGAGACAGTGCTGTGTGTATGTGAATACGTGTGCGAGAACGAATTCCTGTCTGATGGAAGGTTCAAATCCCACAGCTCCTTGCCATGTTCCTGAACTCTCCCCCACCATACCTCAGTCTCATCATCTGGAAAATGGGTTTCCTTGAGGAGGGCTGAGATCACATACACCGGGTACTCAGCTCATGGTCCAGCACATTCCAGGGCATCTGTCGTTTCCCTGCGTCCCCTTTCTCCCCTAGCGTGGGCAGGGGGAACCCCTATTGGGTTCCTGCTCTCTGACCCCTGACTCCCTTGCAGACCCTCTTCCAAAGCCCCGAGGAAGGCTGGCAGCTGTACACCTCGGCCCAGGCCCCTGACGGGAAATGCATCTGCACGGCTGTGATCCCTGCGCAGAGCACCTGCTCCCGCGATGGCCGGAGCCGGGAGCTGAGGCAGCTGATGGAGAAGGTAAGAACAGACGGTGGAAGTCTCTCAGGTCCCACCCTGCCCTCAGCCCCCCGTCCCGGTCAGCCGGCGCCAGATCCAGCCTTCCTGATTGTTCTGAGCTGGTGGACAACCTGGCTCCCCTCCAGGTGGACATTTTCACCCATGCTTCTTTGGAGGAGAAGCTGAGCGTTGTGCGGGGAGGCAGCATCTGAGTCACCAGATTCACCTGCTAAAAAAGTGCCTTGTGTGTCCCTTGGAGAGGGGTCTCTTCCTCCAACCCAAGGGGCTTATATAACATTCCACCCCCTTCTGATTATGGTCGATATAAAACAGTCCCCATTCAAAACATCCCCAAGGAGGCTCTGATGCCCTTTACAGACTGATCACTGGCCCTTGATACTACCCAGCTGAACTGCTCATCAGTCAGCTCCGATGTCAGTGTTCAAAGGGACCAGCTACCTCACGTAATCATCCTATAGATGAGGAAGCTGAGGGTTTGGTAGAGGACAGAAGAGACCCTGGTCAGCACAGGAGTCTCCAGCCATTAACTCTGCAGGATCCCGGCCCTGCGCACAACCCCAGAACTGCTCTCCCCGCCAGTTTGGGACATCCACGTGGTGTCTCCTGACCGTTGACAATGGCTATGAAAACGTTTTGTGGCATCCAGCGTGGGTATCAGGCTGTTGGGTTTCTGAGACCTCCCAAGCGTCATGTGAACAAGGCGTTCAGGAGAGTCTGTGTGTTTCAACACGCATCCGGTATTATCTCTGAGTTCACCTTTGCCAGGTAGAAGTGGGAGCCTGGGGGTCCTCATTCTGGGTTGGGAGAGGCTACGACCAGGGAATCCAGCTCATTCATGTAGCTGAAAAGTACTTGCTGAGCGTCTGGTTTAGGCCAGTGCTGGGCACTGGTGATTTAGCCGTGGACAAGCTAGACACGGGGTCTGCCTGTGAAGACCCCACCTGAAGGAGGCAGCGGACTGGAGCTTAGAGTCTGTGAGAGGAAAGGGGGCTGGTGGTCGCAGTGGATGAACATGAAGAGGAGGCAGGTGAGGAGGGAGGACCAGCTCGCAGGGTCTGCAGGGGAGGGTGACCCCATATTCCTTTTGCGAAGCTCCCTCTGGCTGCTGTGCGAAGAATTGACTGAAGAATTGACTGAGGTGGGGTGAGGGGGTAGGCAGAGTGCAAGCAGGGAGACCGGGGAGGTGGAGGAGAGAGGTGGGAGGTGGTGGTGGCCAGACGAGGTGGGAGCACACGGATTACCTGGGCGTGTCATCGGGAGGTTGCCCATAAGATCAGGGGAGAAGGCTGGTTGGGTGTTTGGGCTCTGGCTCCATCAGGCCTCGTCCGTGGCATCTCAGGGGGGTGGGGAGGGCAGGAGTCTGGCCCCCCCAACACCCTCCCACGCTCCCAGGTCCAGAACGTCTCCCAGTCCATGGAGGTCCTTGAGCTGCGGACGTACCGTGACCTCCAGTATGTGCGCAGCATGGAGACCCTCATGCGAAGCCTGGACGCACGACTCCGGGCGGCCGATGGGTCCTTGTCAGCCAAGAATTTCCAGGTGGGTCCTTCTGGGTCAGGTCAGGGGCCAAGGAAAGAACTGGATCAGCACCCATTACTTCTGGGAGCGGAGTCATGTCTGGGGAGGGCCACGGGTTGGCTGGGATCTAGGGTCAGGTCAAGGGCCAGGTGTGCATCAAAGATAAGGGGTGAAGGGGCGCCTGGGGGGCTCAGTCGGTTAAGTGTCCGACTCTTGATTTCGGCTCAGGTCGTGATCTCATGTTTTGGGAGTTCGAGCCCTGCATCGGGCTCTGTGCTGATGACCCAGAGCCTTCTTGGGATTCTTTCTCTTCCTCTCTCTCTGTGGCACCCCTGCTTGTGCACATGCTTTCTCTCTCTCTCTCAAAATAAATACCAAAAAAAAAAAAAGATGAGGGAAGTTATGGGTCAAAGTTGAGGTCAGGCCTGGGTCAAAGGTCAGGGGCTAGGATTCGTGAGGGCTCCGTGTTGGCCAGCAGGAGCTGAAGGACAGGATGTCGGAGCTGCTGCCTCTGAGTTCAGTGCTGGAGCAGTACAAGGCAGACACGCGGACCATCGTGCGCCTGCGGGAAGAAGTGAGGAATCTCTCCAGCAGCCTTGCCGCCATCCAGGAGGAGATGGGCGCCTATGGGTACGAGGACCTGCAGCAGCGGGTGATGGCCCTGGAGGCCCGGCTCCATGCCTGCGCTCAGAAGCTCGGTATGCCTTGACCCTTGACTTTGACCCCTGACCTCCACGCCCAACCCTAACACCACCCATGTGCCCAGAAGCTGGAGCTGGTTTTGACCTCTGACTTCTAAACTTTGACCTTTGGCTTCCCGACCCAAGGCCCAAAGTAGACCCAGGACACGGGAAATGGCCCTGACCCTTGACTTCCAGTCTCTTACCCTCAACCTGACTCCATCTTGGGACCAGATTTCGGGATCCTCCCTCACCCCCGGTCCCAGCTCTTCCCGGTCTGATGGTACCACACCGTCCTTGCCCTGCCTCGCTCGGGCTCTTCCCATTCTCCACCCTCATCTGCCCTGTTCCTGCCTCCCAGGCTGTGGGAAGCTGACTGGGGTCAGTAACCCCATCACCATTCGGGCGATGGGATCCCGCTTCGGCTCCTGGATGACTGACACGATGGCCCCCAGTGCGGACAGCCGGGTGAGTGACTATGCCCATCCGGGGGTCACAGCCTGGGGGAGACAGCCTGTGGTCACCCACAGATGCCCAGCAATTCCACACCAATGCTTCTCTTGTAGCCTGAAGTGTCCTAAGATCTCCAGGGCCCTTGACCCTCCCCTTGACTGTCTATGTAACCACCAGGTGACCAAGGGCCTTCCAGCCCTGAAAATCACCAAGTCTTTTGACCTTTGGACTTCCGGTGGCCTCCATGGTCATGACTGCCCATCACCTCTGACCCACCAGAACCTTCCATTAACTGCCCAGTGACTATCTAGTGACTGATAATTGGTCATGAGGTGGCCACGGATTGGAGGTAGTGAATAGCCGTGGCCTCACTATGATCACTGGTCTCCCGGGGATTATAGAGGTCCAGCCAAGGATTTAGGAGCTTGGGTTGAGGACTCAGACTTGGCTTTGCATCCTGCTGCCACCAATTCTTAGCTAGAGAACCTTGGGCAGGTTCCTGAATGTCTTTGAGCCTCGATTTCCTTATCTTCAAAATGGTCATGATAGTGTTGGCATTAAGGTTTTTAACGTGCTTATTAACCCAACAATCTGCACCAGGGAGAGCACGCACCCGTGCAACTTGACATGGCAGAGGAAATGCTACCAACAGGCTGGGTCATGTCGTGGCTACAGGGGTTACCCTCAGGCAGTGAATGCAAGCGACCCCATCACCCAGGGGCTATCCAGTAACCACTAACCACCCCATCTCCAGTGACCGGTGAATTCCCTGTGAGTCACCAGGGACTGCAATTTCCCCTGATCCTTAGGTAGCAAACACCATCCAGTTAGTTTCTGTTTTAAGGCCAACAGTGGTTCCTGACCAAATGATCCCATCACTGGGGCTATGATGGGTCATGAAAGGTCACTGGACATCCCATGGCTGACTGATGACTACTTGGCGACTGTTGATCCCTAAGGACCGTGGGTGGTTCCCGTGTGGTGCTGGGGCCTTTGGGTCACTGGCGGTGCTTCCGCAGCGACCGGCGACTCTCTCGTAGGTCTGGTACATGGATGGCTATTATAAAGGCCGGCGGGTCCTGGAGTTCCGCACTCTGGGAGACTTCATCAAAGGCCAGAACTTTATCCAGCACCTGCTGCCCCAGCCGTGGGCGGGCACGGGCCACGTGGTGTACAATGGCTCCCTGTTCTACAACAAGTACCAGAGCAACGTGGTGGTCAAGTACCACTTCCGCTCGCGCTCCGTGCTGGTGCAAAGGAGCCTCCCGGGGGCCGGCTACAACAACACCTTCCCCTACTCCTGGGGCGGCTTCTCGGACATGGACTTCATGGTGGACGAGAGCGGGCTCTGGGCCGTCTACACCACCAACCAGAACGCGGGCAACATCGTGGTCAGCCGGCTGGACCCGCACACCCTCGAGGTCGTGCGGTCCTGGGACACCGGCTACCCCAAGCGCAGCGCCGGCGAGGCCTTCATGATCTGTGGTGTGCTCTATGTGACCAACTCCCACCTGGCCGGGGCCAAGGTCTACTTCGCCTACTTCACCAACACGTCCAGTTACGAGTACACAGACGTGCCCTTCCACAACCAGTACTCCCACATCTCCATGCTGGATTACAACCCCCGGGAGCGGGCTCTGTACACCTGGAACAATGGCCACCAGGTGCTCTACAACGTCACCCTCTTCCACGTCATCAGCACCGCCGGGGACCCCTGAGGGCCACAGCGGCTCAGGCTGCCACCCAAGGGCCGGGGCCCTTCTATTCTACCCACGTCCCTTACTCTTTGTCTCTGTGCTGCCCTCTCTCTCCCCTCTCCTGTATGTTTTTTTCTCCCCCTCCCTTTTGGCCAGGCTTTCATTCTCTGCCTCTCCGTTTCTATTAGTGCTTTCTCTCTCTCTGTGTCTTATCTCCTTTGTTGGTCTCAAATTTTGATCCTTCACTCTTTCTGCCTTTTTACTAATGTCCCTCTGTCTCTTTCTTTTCACTGATCTGACTCTCTGTTTCCCTGTCTGCTTCTCTCTCTCTTCCCTCTTTCCCCACCCTCCTTGCTTCCCACCCATTCCTCACCCCCTCACTCCACGCCCCCGCCTCCCCCAACCCCCAAGGAGTTGAGTGCATGGATCGGTTTCTTTTTTTATTTACACTCGTTCTTTCCGGGTTGCTGGAATAAACGGGACCTTTGACATTTGATGCTTTGGTTGCTCTGTGTGTCCAGACAGGGCAGAGGAGGCCAGGTGGAGGCTCAGCCCGGGCCTGGAGACCCGCCCCTGTAGCCCATGACACAAGGTGTGTAAACCAGGGCAAGCCAGCCTAGCCTGGGGGTGCGGCAGGCCAGGGGTGGGGAGGGGTGGTGCGCAGGGGCATGGCCGGGCGAGCCCTTTGGGAAGACAGGCAAAGAGACCCGATCCAAAGTTGCTTTGTTCAAAAGCAATTTGTTTAAAAGCAATTTGATCCAAACAACCGAGAATTCTACCACAGCGATGAAAACAGGCCTCAAATGAATTTTCTCCGTCGCTGGTTTTGCATCACTGAGCCATCTGGCAACTGTGTGTGTGTGTGTGTGTGTGTGTGTGTTGGCTGCTTTTAAGAATTTGGGTATAAGAGAACAGGACACAGTAATATTTTTCCTTTTCTCTTTTTGCTTAGTGATTTCAAAATCATTTTACATGAGTTTCACCTGTTCCAAGTTCACTAAAACAAGGTAGAAACAGCCTCAAGTTACGCTGGGTACCTTCAGCCGAACATGCCCCCACCGCACACCTGGAGCCCATTTACCCGGAAGGGGCTTGGGTAGAGATGGGCCCAGAACTCCTGCAGGGAAGGACGGGGTTGGGGGGAAGCTAGGAAGTATGGGAGGCAGGGGTGTGAGCGGAGTTGGGAAGAGGTCAGAGAAGCAGAGGCGATTCCTTAGGAGGAGCTTCGGTGATGTCGCTAAGGCGGGGACGCGCACAGAAGGGAACAAACAGGTGAGGGCTTTATTTAGCCAGATTCCTGGTGGCCAAGGTGAGACAGACTGCAGGAGAAGGGAGAGTCACCTCTGGGGGGGGTCGGGAACAGAGGTCGTGCTGGGCACCACCCCGCGTTCGCCCCACCACATGGCCCCCCACTGAAGCCGGGGTAGAATATTACACAAAGAGCCCCCACAGGCCTAGATCCCACCCTACTGAGACCACGGAGGAGGCGAAACCGGCTCTTCTGGGCGCTACCCCCCACCCCCATCTCTAATTAATGACCTCTCTGATTAAATCATCTCCGCTCCATGCTGCCATCTCCGGGAACTCGGGACACCGGGGCCGTGCCGCAAATGAAACCAATGAATAATAAATGGGACTGCCTAATGCACTCATTTAAAACCAATTTTTAAAGAAATCTTCAAGAAAAGCAATTAATTTCCATTTAAATTGACATGTTTGACATTGAAAAAGAACCGATTCCCAGATAAGCCCATTGAGAGGCACTTGGTACCTGCTTTAAAAAAAAAAAAAAGCACAGGGCTGGGACACTTAGGTCCCCTGAGGCCACCCTCATTCCATTTATTTGGAGGCAAATCCCCCAGATAGCACACAGTGGGGGTGGGGAGTAGTTCACTGAGGAAGTTTGGGGACTGAGGGCTGCTGAGTCTCTGTCCCAGGCACACACAGACCTGGAACCGGGCACAGAGGACCAGGCGGGCTGTGGCTGTGGCTGTCCCAGCGGCACCTGCCCTCCAAGTGACGCCCAGAGCACCTGGCGTCATACACGCCCTAAGCGCCCTCTCTCTCACACACACACAGGCAGGCTCCAGCGCTCTTGACACTTCGTTTGTAGTTTTGTTCCGACTGAGGAAGGGCAGGAGTCATACCGCGCCTCCCCAGGCCAGGGGCCGTGCGTGCCTGGCTGCCTGCTCCCAACCCTGGCTGCCCCCCTCGCGGACGTGTGCCTGGCCACGGGTTGAGGTGACCCACCCCGGCCCTGCCGCACGGCCACAGAAGCCTGAGCCGGTGCCTGTGGCAGAAGAGTGGAAACCACCCCTGTCCCCGGGGCATTTGGGCTAGGAGGGAAGACTGCACCGTCGTGGCCAGAAGGCCAGGGTTTGATGGCTTGACGGCCCCAGCTCCCGGCAGGAGGCAGGGGTGGGAATGTGGCGCGGTGAGGGAAGCCTCGGCCTGGCGCTGAGTGGACTCTGAGTGGACTCGGGGGCACTTTTATCTAACAGCCATGTTCTTTTGTGTTTGGGTTTTGGCAGCTGCACAGCCAGCCAAAGGGGGGAGGAGGTCCACAGAGGGAGTGGTCTCAGCCGGTCAGGGAGGCTCCCAGTGTCACCCAGGAGACACACCTAGGGATAACTAGGGTCACACGGCCACACACAGACACACACACGCTCGCTCGCTCTCTCCCTGCCACAGAGGCCATTTCCCTGCCGACTCCACCCAGGAAAACCCATCACCCCCAGTGGTGTCTCAGCCCCTCCCCCCCTTCCTGCCCCTCCCCCAGAGACTCCGCTGTCTCAGCAGGGACGTGATCGCTCCTGGACCCCACAGAATTGTTGGTGCAAACTGGGGACACGGGCTGCTGCCTGCCTCGTGTTCACCGCAGGCGATGGTAGATCCTGCCTGGAGGCGTGGAGGTGCAGCCCGCCGGCTCCCCCCGCAGCCTGCCAGAGCGGAGAGGAAACCCATTAAACCTTCCTAATGACACTCTGGCAGGCAGTGAGCAGAGCGACTGCTCCAGAAACCAGCCAGATGGGAGTCGGCCCAGGTGACTGTTTATGAGACACAGTCTTGGGGGCCTCCCTTGGGGTCAGTGGGGCTGGGCAGGCCTTTAATCTGCTCAGGTCCCCGAGCCCTGCTAGCCTGCCACCTCCCCACCCCCCATCCTGACTGGTTCCCATTAAGTGAGGGGGGCAGAGTGGGCGAAACCCACAAACCCCGATTGAACTGTGCCCCCAGCCCAGGCCCCAGCACAGGTAGCTGGGAGGGGATGGAAGGCAGGTGGGCCACACCCGCAGGCCACCGGGCAGGTGCATCCACTTGATCTGCCACAGGGATCCCCTCTGCTCCCAAGGCAGCCCCTTCCCCGTGGCCCAGTACAGGGACGCCGGGCAGGATGCCGCTCTCAGAGGTGCCCAGCAGCAGCCCTTTTCCCTTCCTGGCTGGTTCTGTGTTGCTAAGGTAACAGCATCTGAGGGAGAAGGCAGGACCCAGGAACAACCTGCCAAAGCATTTGTGTTAACAGGGAAGCAGGCATCAGGGTGCTGGGTCCAATCCGTTCTGTTTAGGAATGATCTGTGTGCGTGCGTGCGTGAGTGCGTGGAGGGCACCTAGAGCAGGCGGGGGCTTCGGTCTGTCTCTCCCTCCAAGGATCCCCTGGAGATCCCCACTCCACCTTGATCTGCCGCATTCTGAGAGGTGGGGTCAGCGCGCTGCCCTTGCATTCTAGAATATTCTTAAACACCCGAGTTCGAGGCGCACTGGCGCTGACTGGTGCCCCACTTCCCTGGGAGTCTTCCTGGCTAGGAGCCCCCGGGCGCCTTCCCCTCTCACCCTCTCAGGGAAGAAATGCAACTTGGACACTGGGGATGGCGGAAGACCATCTCCCCTCCGACAGCCACACTCCCCCCCCCCCCAGCAGGGAGGAAATGAGACACGGGACAGCAGAGCAGTGGTTCCAAGTTTAATCAAGGGTGCGAGGGTGCTGCACTGATGCTCAGAGAGGACCCCCAGGCAGCTGGGCAGCCTGGGTCCCGAGGGGAGCATCAGCTTTTTGCAATTGAATAGAGGAACATAGCATAACCAGAAACAACTGGGGGCCCTCCTGCCCCCATCCTGGACCTGGGTGGGGGGACAGAGGGGGCAGCTCAGCTGACTAGGCCTTCTCTTTGGGACAGGTCACCCCCACGCCTTCGGTCTGGGAGCCTCCCCACGCAGCCGCCCTTCTGAAGTCGATTCCTAAAGGGGAGAGGAGTCTGGCAGGGACAGCCCCAACTGGGGGCAGAGAGGGAGGCCCCAGGGGTGAAGGGCTCCCCCTGGCCATTTTGGGAACAATAAATACTGTGACGTTAGCAGGGAGGGCCACCTGTTGGCCAGCCGGCAGCAGGGAGCAGCGGGGTCTGTGGGCCCGGCCGCCGTCCAGCCCTGCCCTGCCCCGCAGGCTGGGCCCTGGCCACCCACCCCCTCACTCGGTGCGCAGGATGATGTGGATGCCAGAATCCGTGAACACGGGCCCGCTCATCTCCCCCGTCCGCAGTGCAAAGGAGGCGTCTTCAAAGGGCTTCTGCATCTGACCTGGGGAAGCGTGAGGCATGGGGTGCGGGGGTCAAGACCTGGCCGCGGGGCGGGCTGCGTGGGGCAGGCAGACGGGGCTCCCCTCTGCGCCAGCCTCCTGCTCATCCATCAGGCGGTTTATGGCCCTGTCACGGGGGCGGCAGGGCCATTAAGAAGGCCCCGGGAAGCCGAGGACAGCATGAAGGATGGCAGGCAGAGCTGCTGCTGCGCACTTGGAAGCACACTGCAGTGATAAACTCGCCTCCCAGGGCCCCCCGATCCCAGCCCCCGCCACATCGGCTGCCAGGCCCTTGCTGGCTCTCCCCCACCCCTCTCCCCATCCCGGGCCCCGCCTTGATGCTCTGCAGACCCCAGTACAGAGGGGAAAAGGAGAAAGGGGTGGGGGTCTGACCCACTCTGCCTGCTCCTCCTACTGCCTGAGCCAGACAGGCCTAAACCCACAGCTGCTCTCCTCCCCTCCACCCTTCCACTGTCCCCACGGCTGATGGTGGTATTGGGAGGGGTATTCTAGGGGACAGGCCCTGGGGTGCTCGGGGACCCAGCTGTATTCCCCCAACAGGAGGAGAGTACCTACCTTGCTGG